CACACACACACACACACACACACACACACACACACACACACACACACACACACACACACACACACACACACAGACACACACACACACACACACAGACACACACACACACACACAAAACACAAAACACGATAAACATTCATCATCAACCAAGGGTTTCTTAAAGTCACAATAGAAAGTTGCCTATCTCATAAGACCGACTTCTCCATATGAAAAAATCCAGCTGAACATTGACAGTTTTAGACAAAACTGTTTTTAAATGACCATGATAAAGATTAATTCTTTATAATTTCAAAGAAAGTTCCATGAATACAATTAATGATGGTCATTATTTATTTCACAGACACATGGTGGTAATCTCCATAGTCAGTCACTTAATGTCAGTGTACTGTAAACATTCTTCCAATAAGACAAATCTTTATAAAGATTATTGCATGCCCATAATCTAATTTATCAAGCTAAGATTTTACCCGAGTCGCTTCCTACAGCTGCCTCTGTAAATAACATTACGTCTTCCACTTAACCTTATGGCACTATTAGCCAATCGCCCCGCGGGTTTGAATCACGTGCAGAGGAAGACAGAGACCACGCATCTTGTGCACATTCCTGAAGACACTCTTTGGCTTACAGCTCAGCCGCACGGACAAATAAGACAAGCGCGTAAGTAGAAGTCAACACCAAATAACATCAATACCGATCAAGGGTAAGTTACTACCTTCGCTTATTCACTTTACGCTCTTTCACGAGCTTTACGTCGTCACACGGCGCTTATTAGCTACAGCACGAATAACATGAGTAGCACGAGTTTCGCTGGTTCATATGTATTTGTTTCCTGTCAACACCCTTGGTAATAGGTACAGCTAAGTACTTTTCTATTTCTTTAACGATAAACTTTGCTTAGGAAACAAAGAAAACGACCCGATTAGTTATAACTTCTGATAAAATGGTCAGTTTCTGTACGTTCTACCAGGGGTAATCCTAGAGAGGGGTGAGAAACGTCCATTGTTCTCGTCAGCGAGGCTGGCTTTTTTCAGGGTATGTACGCACAGACAGAAAACTAAGTATTGTGGGAACGTTACTAATGAAGCCACTGGTTGTACTAGTAGATATCAGCCTGTAGTCTTGAACAAGCGCCTCGATGACGAGTGAACAGTTGTCAAAAACAAAAGACCAAGGTGTGGTAGTTCAACCACTGTTCATGCGTGCCGCAACGACCAAACCTAATTGCTCCTCAAGGTCACAAAACAATATCCGGAACTGACGGCCAGGCTCGTCTTAATCATATAAGTAGCGCGTTTCCACCCCCTGGTTCTACGAATCGAAGCGAGTCAAAATGGCGGACTCCTAAATTGTAAGTTGATATCGACTAATTGACACATTAAGATTCTTATGGTTAGGTGTTACTCGTACAGACAGTTACGAATGAATTATGCGTTTACCGAGCTTCACCATTCGGTTTTACGATAAGTTTTCTATGGCGGGAAGTAATCCCCACCTTTTATGATCTACAGAGTTAAGCTTTAAGCTTTGCGTAATCCAACATAATATTATGTAATTGGCAGCTCGCGAACCGCGATCCTTTACGTAGGAAGTGACTCCATTGCCCCATTACTTTATCCATTATCAACCATTAGATCATAAAATGAACAAAAATTTGATATATGAATATAAAGTCTTAGCTAATGATAAATAAAGATTATTGCATGCCCATAATCTAATTTATCAAGCTAAGATTTTACCCGAGTCGCTTCCTACAGCTGCCTCTGTAAATAACATTACGTCATCCACTTAACCTTATGGCACTATTAGCCAATCGCGCCGCGGGTTTGAATCACGTGCGGAGGAAGACAGAGACCACGCATCTTGTGCACATTCCTGAAGACACTCTTTGGCTTACAGCTCAGCCACACGGACAAATAAGACAAGCGCGTAAGTAGAAGTCAACACCAAATAACATCAATACCGATCAAGGGTAAGTTACTACCTTCGTTTATTCACTTTCCCACCCAACCCTGTCCCCCTTTTACATTCAACTCACATGCTTCTGTTTTCATTTCTCAACACTTACCTAGTATCAAAATTTATGATACTCAATTAATTGGCGGGAAGTAATCCCCACCTTTTATGATCTACAGAGTTAAGCTTTAAGCTTTGCGTAATCCAACATAATATTATGTAATTGGCAGCTCGCGAACCGCGATCCTTTACGTAGGAAGTGACTCCGTTGCCCCATTACTTTATCCATTATCAACCATTAGATCATAAAATGAACAAAAATTTGATATATGAATATAAAGTCTTAGCTAATGATAAAAAAACCTACTTTTTAACAACGTGGCAAGATGCAAACTGTATGAGTGAACTGACAGTTACTGATTAAATCAAAATATCTTTGTTATTATCCCCTTTATTATGTCACAGGGATGCTCAGAATATCAACAAACGAATCTTGGTTAAATTCTTGACAAGGTTTTTAAAATGAGAATTTTAGAGACATAATAACAACTCAGATATGTTTAAACTTTTTTTAAATTACTGCTGTCAAAATGTACCTGGGACAAGGACCTGAGATGAGTTTCTCTAAAGATCAACTGCCGTGCATAAGAATAACAATTGCTCTTGAAAAAAAAAAACATTATAGTTATTTTGTCAAAATTAAGGAAGATCTTTCTGTTTGAAAAAAAACCCTCCTTATTTTGTATTCTGGTGCCTTAAAAAGTAAACAAATTTTGACACATAAAAAATTAAAACTTCAACCAAATAAGTTGCATTTTACAAAGAAACTCAAAAGTGGCTTACCTCATTTTTGTTGCATTTTTTTTAGAATTATCTTCCTGCCCCTAAAGCCCTCCAATTTAAGTGGGTCCATCATTCCTACAACATGCCAGGACCGTTATCCATCTTCAGCAGTCAAAGTTTAGTCAGCCCAAATTCCTCGAACTTTTTTGTGATACCTGCCCCAGATCTTAAGCCATCCAGAAATTAGGTCTTTCTCCAGTTCAAGAAAAAATCCATACATACATAGCAGACTAGCGGTCCAAAGCAGTCTACTTCAGAATAAAAACTTATTGGTCTAAAACAATGGAAATCCCTTTCTTGTAAAATACAAAATGCCTTTTTTTTTTCAAATACCATGGATTTAAGTACAACAACTTTTGATCTAAAAGTGAAGACCAATATTTCAGATATATTTAAACTCGAGTTCAGTTGGTAAGACCGGCTGCTGAAGAAACCAGCTGACTGTGAATGAGATATATCACCCGCATTGTCAACTTGTCTTTGATCTAAAATTGAAGACCAATATTTTAGATCTTTGAACTCGAGTTCAGTTGGTAAGACAGGCCACTGAAGAAACCAGCTGACAGTGAATGACATATATCACCCGTAGTGTCAAGTCATAAAGCACACATTCCTGGGGTAAGATAGCACACTGACAGGATTCTAAGCTTGACCTCACTATGACCTACTTAATGACTGGCTGCCAAAGGGGACATTCATGTGTCTGCCTAACAGATTGTTATCTCTCTACACATTGTAGAAAAACTTCAGTGTGCTAGATAACAGGGGTGCACTGACCCTATGCCCTCTCTGTTAATTTGATTAATTTAGGGTTAAAGATGAAGGAAGGAAAAATGTTAATGCCAGGCTTTCTATGCAAAGTCAGGTATGCACTTAAAGGGGGGCTACAGCTGTACGATATCCGTGCAAGAGCACCCCCTCCAACACACACACACACACACACACACACACACACTAGAGAAGTACATTTTGGACTTGTAGGAATCTTTTCAAACACATCAAGTTATGATCACAAGTATCTATATATCAAAATGAGGCAATACTTTATCATCATCTTTTAATGAATACGGATTGTTGGGATATTTGTGAAGATGATTCCTGTCAGCTCAAGCAGCAATCTGACACCTGCTTACCAGTAATCAGACGTTTAGGAAAAGAGCAATGTTATTTCCATTAATACGCACAAGCTGGTGACTTATCAATTTAACCATCCAGCATTTGACATTTCAAAGTAAACCATCTTGCAAATGCAAAATTAGTCCCGTACCAGTACACATATAAAATATTGTTTAAAAAATATATCATGTACTGTAGGTTTTCTAAATGGTTGTTAAGGACAGGGTGAGGGTCAATCCACACCAATTCTGACCATGAGAACCCTAAAATCTGACCATTATAAGACACCACACTCAGCAACCAGGGATGCACTTGAGTCACAAATAAATCTACATGCTTCCACAGTATCAACTTCCCTGCTATAAGGACTTATTCTAGTTACAAAAACTATGCTTCAGTTGTCCATGCTCAGCAGACCTTAACATTCGTTTAGGTCGATTTATTCAATATCTAAGGCCAAGGGAAACCATTTCATCAGATGTACATTCAGCCTAGAATAAAGACTGAAAGACAGGCTACTGGTATCTTGCTTCATGATCAAACTAGACAACCTAGATACTCTTAAACATGGCACTTGATGGTAAAAATTAGACCTAAATCCATTTCCAAGCTAATCTAGTGTGAACAAAGCTGTACGTTCCTTCATGACCCCAAATGCATGGTATGCACAGAAATCAGTACATGAAGACAGCACATGATAGACGCAGATGTTTATGAGGCCAAGGCTGCATATATATATATAAACTACATTGGTCTACAGTATGTGACTCTTGGTGGTGGTTATATATCTATATTACATATTGAATAAATTCATAGGTAGATTAACACCACAGCATCGTTCTTTGAGTTGCACATAACATGTAAATCCAAATGTCTGCATATGTCAAAAACACAAATACAGTATATACGCAAAAACACTTTGAGATAATTTTTGAAAAGAATACGACCAAGTTTGTGGAAGAATTAAAAGGAATAAAAGGATTTCTTTTTCTCATTACACAAAAAGGAATAAAAAAGCCTACAAAAACAACATAATTGTGCATACCTGCATGCTGCATTCAGGCAGGGGCTCATAAAAGAAACAGGTTGTTTGGTTTGCCTTCTAAAGTCAGGGGAGGCATATAGTAACCCAAAGGTCATTGACACGTTACTATGGAACATATGGTGCAATCAAGTGTAAGCCACAAGCATACATGTGTAGGCTTAGGCGAGGTCAAAAATGTTGGTCACAGCTTCCTTCCGCATTTATTTAAATTCACATGCAGCATGGCGTTGCCCTGAGATGCAGGTCTTCTTTTCAACTTCAGCTACATGCTTAGCCATTTAAGCTGCACCTGTCAGTACACTATGAGAAGTTACAACAGGAGTAGCAACGTGAGGGGGGGGGGGGGGGGGGGGGGTCATTAGGATCTCATTCAGCAGCAAGTTTGACTGAAATTTACTAAATCCTTGATAATGCACTGCATATTACCCATTATCTCAACATCCACATCTTCAAAAACTTCATTGGAAAAAAATTAAGTAATAGTAATAACAAAATAATGAACATCATAATTTACATATAATGTTATATAAGCTGACAATATTTCTTGAAAAAGTACCCTGTTCCAAGTACTAGTATATATATAAATATATCTTTCACTGGATAAACCACAATCACGCTGGCTGCTGGCTCATTTGATTCATATTCCTTTGAATAAAAAACACTTGTATTACACCATTACTCATAAATACAGAGTTCTTCCAATTAAATATGATGTGGTAGCTTCTAAGTACAGCACCCACACAGCTGCTGCTAAGGAGAGATAGGAGGGGAGGGGGGCACAGCTGTGTGCTTCTAAGGCAATAGCACTTGGATAAGTTTGTAACATTTCCTTTCTCTCTCTCCTTCCCACCTTCTTTAAAGTTATCTCTCTCTCTCTCTCTCTCTCTCTCTCTCTCTCTCTCTCTCTCCCTTACAAGCATGTTTGTTAAAAAACAAGTACATTTCTTTGTTTGATTTACTAAAAATTCTAGATTAATGTTGAAAACTGATTCAATCAGGAAAAAAAAAAGCAAAGCTTGAACCAAATCAAAAATACTGTCCATCCAATACCACATACAGCAGCAGCATTTCACGCGTTAATTATCTGTTATTATCCAATCACGTCTTACAATACCTTAATGATGAAGTAGGCCTCTACCTGGCAGTTGCACATGTGATAAGCATGCTATGGCCATGATCTCTACGGTCCAAACACAATAATGACGTCAACTCTACAGACAATATCGATATTCGCTGACTTTTATCTATTTGTTATGGCGCAAAAGTACTAGTCTGACTTTACATTTCAGTATTCTTAGTTTGAGTGCTCCCTAAAGAGCAATTTATTTAAACAATTTTTGAAATGTTTGTAAAAAAATTGATATTCCGACAATAATATAATCCAGGTAAAATCAGTTACCTTGCATGGCTATGTGGTGGTTGGTTTAGGATAAAGGTTTTTTTGTTTCTTTGCTGCACATGATTGCAACATATTTACTAAAATGCTACAATTACAAAGACATTTCAAATGCTACATCTGACTCACGGCAGTTTGACCCTAAGAATTAAACATATTGGAGATGTCCCTTATTATAAAAAGCTTCACGATACCTCGAACTTAAGCCAAAAATAAAAGCCAAATAATGATAAACATCTTTTGTTTAGGAAGATTGATTTTTTTTTTTTTTTTTTTTTTGCCAAAGAAATGCACGTGTCCCTTAAATAAATACTTATTTCACATAATGATCAATATTAATCATAATTCTAACTTTGGATGAAAACAAGACAATTGTGTAGATAGTACTCCTTTTGTGCAAAATCATTAAATGTACTTTTATTTAGTATTGTGCCTTTCATGACCCCAGTCGTAAAGAGAACTGAGTAAGTATGTAGTATATCACGAATACCTTGGCAACAGAAGAGAGCCAGCACACACTTACTAAACCTGTGACTTTCAGGGTGTTCTTACACTTGAACTTTCCAGAAAACAATATTTATGATATACATGACCCACAGACCCTCATGATACTCATAACCTACAGACAATCCTGAAACCTTTTGACTTCCAGGGTGTTGTTTGTCATGTTTCTAGTACAGCCACCAGTCAGCCCTGTTTATAACTTTAAAAGCTTCAGATATATATATATATAAATATATATGGCCTTGGCCTCTTTGTAGTGCTTCACTAGCATTTGTCCCAGATAAGAACTTACACTGGAACTGGTGGACCAGGGACCTCCTTTATAATAATAAGTTTATTGAGCACTAAATGATGTGAATACATTTGCAGGCTCTCTAGACTACAATATTTACATAATATATATATGGGTATACAATTATATATTTTTACATATGTAGTATGTTAAATCATACATGTGTTAATGCAAATTATGCTATAATATTAATTAATTAAGCTATTCACAGCATTATTGACAATAAGTGGCTGTGATATACTAGATTTCAGGTGAACTATGTATTTTAACAGCAGTCTTTACAAATTCTGCTATTACTTTGAGACTTTTATGACAGGGTGGATTAAGGAGAATTGACAATATCTGATCACTGTCATCTAGACCCACTACACTGATTTTCAGTAGTTCATCATGCATTCGTTGCCTCTCAACAGTGTATCTTGTGCATTCTGTGAGGAAATGTTTTTCATCCTCTACACAGTTGCAAGCTTTACATTTTCTCTCATCAAGTGGAGTTTTAGGGTTTGTGTATCGGCCCCTTTCTATTGCTAGGTCGTGGTCACTTAGTCTAATTTTTGCTAGTGTTTTGATATCTAAGGGTGAGACACTCATTTTGATGTAATTTTCACATTCATAAGATTTTTTAATTGTTTTGTATGTCCTTAATTTGTTTGAGGTCGAACTATTTAATTCCTGCCAAAATTAATCTCTTATTGTGCTCGGCACTTCATTATAGTTTCTAATTCTCTTTGATTACACTGGTTATTACATAACTAAATAATGCTATAAGCTGATAAATCCTTCTGGAAAGAGATTTTAGGTTCAGTTGTAAAATCTTTACAGTAAGATCACATAAATCTTATACCATCAACATTTTCATGTCTTTACTTTTTTCTCATGCTTTATCTATGTCTGTATGGTAACTCAAAATTAAAAACTAAATGACAAAAGGGGCATATCAACCAGCAGAGTAATTATTATTCTATGCCTAATCATTTTTGTTTACACACCGCACTCATTTAACAACAGACACAGCTGCCCCGCCTGCCAGTTCATTAAATTAAGCTAGCACATTGTCAACACGAGCTCATCATGCAACCCATAGTCAAGTATACATTATGCACACTCAGAGCCATCAGTCTAGTGTGGGAGAGGTGATTATTGGCCTTGAAGAAACAATGACTGTACAAAGAGCCTCCCTCAACATATTAATGGAACACATCGAGTGCAGTGAATTAGAGGGTATTCAAGCAAGTACAATCCAATTATCTGTCTAACACAGCTACGCTGGCTATTCAAATGCAGAATCACCAATGTGGATTTTTTTTCAGAATGTTGTAATATTAAATAGATGCAATGACCTACACACCAATGATATATGTGTATGTATGTATGAGCATATGTGTATGTATGTATGTGAGTACGTTTCTGCAAACAATATGCATAAGTGTCAGATATGCAATCAACATACAAATAAATATCGTAAAAGCACAGTTATGATAAATCAAGTTGAAATACAAATCATTGCTTTAAATACAAAACTAATCATTTTAACTTCTCCAACTATTTTGCAGAATTTCTAAGTATGTACTATTATAGATAAAACTGAGACAAAATGAAGTGAATCTTACCTTCATCTCCAGGGAGCATCCACTTGTTTCCATCAGTATCTGGGGGTGGTATGGTCACAGCTAGCCCTGTTGGTGGGGATCTTTTCTTTGCCCTGGGACGGGCTACAGGTCTCACCTTCTGTGGGGACACATCATTAAACCCACTCCTGCTGCTGGCTTGTGGACTGCTGGCACTACCAGCACCCTGTGCACCTTTAGCATGGGTTTCATCAACCACTTCTGACCCAAGGCAAAGATCCATGCGAGTCGAAGACAATGAGCCACCTCCAACTGGGACAGTTTTCTTTAGGAGAGAGGCATCCTGGATCATCATGGGCATGACCACTGAAGTCTGGGGTGGTGCTGCCGGGTCTTTCCCATCAGACAATAGTTTGGATATACCCGTTAGTTCTTCCTGCATGGCTGGTTTTACAGCCGTAAAGCTGTCTGAGGCGTCTGAAGTAAGTAGAGTATGAAGGCTTTTCACATCAGCAATATCATTTGACTGAAGGGATGATGACTGAGTGGCTTGTGATGAGACATCAGTGGAAGACAGGCACGAATGTAAACTTGTTGAGGAACTGAAGGGTGACACAACAGCTGTAGGCTTTTTAAACGACCCCAGGGTACCAAAAGTCCCATCCCAGCTCTTGGCTGAGGAACATTTCCCACTGTAGCTTTCTTCTGAAGAGGAAGACACAAGTTTGTTACAGCCAGGGTAACTGGATGGTTTGTTTTTGGATGGACTGCTATCAATGGGTGGTTTCTTACATGGGCTGTTATCAGTGGATGAACAGGGGCTAGCACTCCCTTTGCCAAGCATGGTTGGTTTGTTTTTAGGTAACCTGGCTGGTATTGGAGGTGGAGGTAGAGGTGGGGGGGTCTGACATCGACCCGTTGCTGCCCCCAATGGTCTTCCCCCAGACGGGGCAGAAGGGTCTTGTCCTGTCGGTGTTCCCACTCTACTTTTCTTAATGGATGAGCCCTTACGAAAAGACCTATCACTGTCACTCTGATAGTTTTCTTCACCACTTGTTGAAGAGCGCTCCATGGACTTTGATGCTGATCTGCGGCGAAACATGGAAAGGAAACTCATCTTCACCCCTGGAGATGACCTCTCTTTTTCATCCAAAGGATTTTTTGATTTTGTTGGTGTCTTTGGGAGTTCTTTGGTGTGTTTCTTTGGCCTGGGAGGAGGGGAAGACCTGGCCTTATTGTGTTGTTTAATATCCTTTTTTGATGAATGGGGTTTAAACTGATAAAGGTTATCAAATGGTTTGAGGACTGGGGATGCCTCAGCCTCACTCCTTGATGACTCAAGATGTGAGCCACTGTCCTCGGTGTCAAGCTGCCCCACTGAAAAATGCATGTATCCAGAGTCTAATATCTCGTCAGCCAATGGCTTTGTTGTTGAACTCTGAGCACCAACCTGCTGAGAATCCCTGGGAGGTAGCGACATTGTCATGTAATTGTTCTGTTCTTCACTCAAAGGATTGGCCATGGTATGGGAATGTTGGAGTTCTGACCTGGTAACAAGTGGCTGGGAAGAGGAACTTCCACCAACGCTGTGACACCTGGGGTAGACAACGGGGCATAGACCAGTATTGCTGGGTTTCACAACCATTTTCAAATAGTCCCTGGGAGAATCACAGGTGCTGGCCATGGGAGAGGAGTCGCCCAAACTAGAAACAGATGCATATTCCTGTCTAGAGTCCCCAGGGCTACTCCCACCAGGCTTCATCCAAATGTACTGGTCATCCTCTGGGCTATTTGACCTGCTGTTTGACAACAAGCTGCTCTCTGATGTACATGCATGAATACTAACCCTCCCAGTCCAATCAACTATCCCCTTCAAGGTGGACGAGCTTGGATTGCTAGGTCCAGCAGACATGGAGAAGTAATCAGCATCAGAGCCTGTGCTACTGCTGCCAGTGTTTGTCGAATCCGGTCTTCTGCTATCTGGAGGAACACTAAAGGAGGTCTCCTGAATCAGTGGGGAGCCAGCCCTATTTCTCCGTCTATCCATCGTCTGCACAGCTGCCATATCAAAGTATGGGCTGGCCTCCTCTGTCTCCATCTTATCCAAGGATGACGACAGACTGCCAGCAGTGTGAGCTCCGCATGTACACTGTCCACAGTTTATGATAGTTTCAGATCCAGGAATATTCACATAACCTCTTGGCTCAGCAGGAATGTTCACATACCTCCGTACAGGAGTGGAATGCTGCCCTGGAGCAGAATGGCACAAAGGACACCCACAGGAGCATGGGCAAGGCAAGACATTGGCATATCTCTGTCTCCCACTTACTGCTGGTGGGGAATCCTGAGGGAAAGACAGCAGATTTACAGGTATTTTCACACTGGACGCAGCACTGTCAATATAATGATGATCCGTTTCCTCCCCGTCAAATCTTTCCAGATTTACATATGTCAGGGGTTGTGAAAACTGATCTCTGCTCTTGGCAGAGGCATCAATGGGTGAGCTACTTCCCGAGCTGCAGCTGATTTGAGCAATATCTTTGAGATTGGTGTTGGAGGTGTACTGAGGAAAATCTATCTCCTCAAAAAGTCTGTCTGAATCTTGACTGCTAAGAGAATGAGATCCAATACTAGAATGACTCTGTGGGGAAGAATGAAACTCTTTGTGAGCATTTGTTTCAGCAGATGATGATGATGATGGCATGAAATTAGAAAACTGAACTGTTGCAAACACAGGATCTTCATTTGATTTTGACATTGGCACTTTAGGGTGAGGTAGGTTTGTAAATATATCATCCAGGAGATGTATGGAAGTTTTGTTGTTTCCTGTCCTTCTAGTACTCATATCTGAAGTTGCACCACCAGTGGCACCCCAACAATTCTTAGTGGGGCCAGCACCGAACAAGTCTACATTCAAGTAACTTTGATCAAACTGACCATCAGGAGAGCTGGACTGTCGACCTGCCAACCTTTGCGATCTTGGCAAGGTGCTGGACAGGGTACGCTGCAAAGTTCTGCCACCGTGACTCTGCTCCTGGTCACTATCAAAGCCTGCATTGTCTGCAGTCTGTCTCCCCTGTCCTCTACGGCCTAAATTTTCAATACTGACTAGACACTGTTTTTCATCAATCTGATGAAGAGATAACTGGCGACTGTGAAGCTGGTGGTGAGATCGAAAATTGAGATCGGCATTCACTTGAGTGTTTTCGAAGTTTTTGGCATGTGGACTTGTGGCCTGAGTATTGGATGACCTATAAGCTTGGAACATTGCTGGAAGACTCAATCGAGATCCTGAAATATTGAACGAAAAATAAGTAATCAGATTTTGCAATGTTTTTTTAAAGATATTAAATAAGGACAAACAGTGACATTTGAATGAAATTTT